ACTACTACTGCTGTTAATATATTACCCACTATATTGTTTCTGCATAATGATTTAGCTATATGTTGCTATTATGTTTGGGTTTCAATAATGAACCTGTTCAGGCTTAAAGAAATGCACAAACCTCCTGGAACAAAATTAATATTGATAAGACTGAGAGTAGTTTCACCCCTGTGCCAAATGTTAATTTAAATTACAACAAGAAGGTGAATACATCGGCACGGTGGACAATACGTGCTACTGTAGGTTTGCCTCGGCTTTATGAATGACAGTGCAGTAAATATAGAACACTGTCTTGAAATCAATGTTGAAATGACTTCCAAATGCAAAACCACTTCCATGGCTTTAAAGTGCCACTGCATAAATGACTGTAGGATTTGGAGGAGAATGCAGAAAAAATTGTTTGTGGAGAATGAAAACACTAAACTTAATAGTTTATACATTGCCTTTCACAGAAGAACAAAAGACTGTAATATCAGAATCCACTTTATGGGCCAGGTGTGTTGAACCCATGAGGAATTTGACTTCGGTACAGTGGCTCTCAATGTGCATGTACGATGTTCTTCGGTAAGTCAACAAGATAAGAAAATGGCTAGTAAAATATATAACTTGTAACTCACTTGTCTATAAAGTGCATTTGTGTACTCTGCTAAAGTGAACGTGAACCTTGAGTCCATAGCTACAACTCTTGTGTGTGTGAATCAGTGAATTTTAGGGTGGCAACATGGTTTAGGGTTAGGATGAGGTTAGGTTAAGTGTTGAGGTCAGGTGTTGGGTGTTAGGCAAGTAGTGGTTATGGTTAAGGTTAGGATAGGTCTACAGGATATGAACGTAAGTGAATGTAAAGTCCCCACAAGGAATGAAAACACAGCGTGTGGGGGAGGGGGGTTGGGGGGGTATGCGTGTGTATGTGTGGCTTTCTTTTACTTGAAATCTTCACATCAGCATTCATCTACAAAGCGCTTATGTGGCAGAAACAGTGCTGTGAGCGAGCCTCCAGAGTGACAGGAGGTGAATTAGAGAGTGATTAGAGGTGAATTCTAATTCACACTCCCATGTGTCTGCCTGTCATTTGTAGGACAGAGCGTTGGCAAACTAATGAGTGTCAGACAGGTTGCAGCATAGACTCACTGAGCTCGACAGTAGCAGTCCTGCACAAAGACACGGTCGCAGCATGTCCTTACCAAAAATTATAGACTCAGACATAAATTACAAACATGCCTGCTGGTAGCATTAGCAATTCTTTTTATTTATGTAAAAGACTGTGGGAGAGCAGAGCAACTGTTGAGACTAAAAGAGAAATACTGAAGACAGTGTTTGACCTTTGTCTGCATGCTACCTGGCATTACACAAACAACTGTGTGCAGGTATTTCTCACAAAATTGAAGTCAAAAAGACCTTGCATTTCTCTGTAAAACTGGCACGGTTTCTGAAAAGGAAAATTTAACAATAAATCAGGAAAAAATGTACCAGTATTAATATACTGTTGATGTGAAAGTAAACCTTATACACAAAAAAGGTGCTTTGTTTAAACATCTAAGTAGACTACACACTGTTAGCTGTATGTGAACTTCAGAAGATAATTTTAACTGAGTGCAAACCAGTCTACCACCAGTTGGAGCTTTGCTGGTTTAAATGTATCAGGTAAACAAGGATAAGTGCAGTGATCCTTCACTCCACTGGACTGTCTTACTATACACAGAGGCAAGTTTTTAAAATAGCATCACTGACTTGCATGTTGCCTCTCTTGACAGACTTTAAATTGATTTATGTACATAAATCTACCTCTGACTGTACATGTTACTAATATCATTAGAATGACATGCTGATTTTATTTGAATAAGATGTTTCTTGAGAACTTTGTAAAATCTAAACACTGATGTAATTTTATTCTCTAACAATTGCTACGCTCTACAAGAACATAATTGATGTACATATTTGTTTACATGTCGTTGTGTCAGTGTTATCAATGACAACCATGGATGCAAGCCTTGGCAACACAAGGACATTACTGCAGATGGTAGGGCAGATGCAGTCCTAGGTCTGTCTCTTTGGATGCATGATGGATCATACTCTGACAATTGAGTAGCTAATAACATGATTAGAAGTAGCTTTATTATTTAGCTAGCGAATGTGTGTGTCATCTCAATCATTACAAGCCTTTAATGTTCCAAATAAGGTTGAGTACTCCCAAAAAGTCTAACATGCAGAAAAATTGATATCGAAAAATACCAAAAAAAAAGGTAAACGGTATATGTTGTATGTATGTGTACGTTGAGCAGTAAGAATAAATCACCACATAGAAGTGCCAAAGATATATATGAGGTAACCAGTGTGAAGGTAATTATCCAGCTGTTAAATGCCCTGCATGGTCCTGGTCGCTGTGCTTTCATAGCAACGTTTCATGCATCATTATGAAAAATGTTTGCATCACATGTTTCATCTTTGTCACATGTGTTAACTGTTGTAAAATGCCATATATGTCAGGCTCTAGTAAGACCCTAGTGCTTGACAAAAATAAAAAAAAGAACTAAAATGTGACTGTAAATGTTTCGGTTCTAAAGAAACCTGGAGACTCCTTGCTGTGAAGCTGCCTTGTGCAGTTTTGATCTCAAACTGTGCAGTCTTTCTCTGCAGGACAGGCAAATATCAGTTGAGGCTTTTGAGGTTTGCTTTTACCTTGAATCTGTCATCACTTCTCCATATTAGAATTTCTGCCCTGAAAGGCCTTCTTTCTGTATACAGTAGGTATATGTCTGTTTTAACCGGTGTTTAGTGTGTGTATATTGTCCATAATCAATGTAAGTACCTTGGCTGTTTTTCCTGCTGTTGCTGACTTTGCCATTTTTCTTCTCAATGTTTCTAGTAAATATTATTATAAGTTATGGATCAGCAGTTTGCTGAATCTCACTGATCATTTGATTGAGCAGTACCATCATTACACACAGCTGTGTGATACGACATGATGTGTTTATTTCTGTCAGAACAGACTGACACATCTGAAGAAGGGTTCGTTTACTGCTTCCACATGTCCTCTGGTGCTGTCGTACAGCACACCACCGTTTGTCCCATCTCTGACAATGTGGGGCCGTGCTCATGAAATGCCCAGAAAATGTGAATATTAAAATCCTTGCAGGGTTGTCAACTGCACCATCTCTCTCCTGTCACCTTCAGGTCTCCAGAGACTGGTGCATGATGAGAGGCAGCGAGGACGTTCACATTGAGATGGCTTCAATAAAAAAGGTAAAAAATGAGAACATTAAAACACTGTACTTAATCTGTCCATTCAAATTAGCGCCATTAATCATGATTAATTTGCTACAAAGCAATAATTGCCTTGAAGAGTGCATACTGTGATCCAAAATGCCTCCAAAATGGCATTGGATTTCTTTGGTAATTTACAAAGGTGTGCTCATCAGGGAGGTGTTGACAAGCACAGATGTGAGGATGAAGTTAAAAGACCTTAACTGGAAGTGTGATATTTATTAAAAGAGAGAGACTTTTTATGAAAGTTGACTTCATCCCGATAGGCAGGATGTAAAGGGGATGCACTTTTGTTGTAAGCACTAATGCAGTATGATATATTGTGATATTTTGGAACACTGATAGAGTTAAATGGATGCAGGATTATATTAGTTAGCCTGTGTGCATTTTCAACAGGATAAGTCTATCATAGGGTCAGGTTGGCACATTGTGATCAGTGATATCGATTGGAATGTAAACAGGACAATATTGCTCTGTGGCACCACAGGAGAGAATTGATAGGCGGGAAATGAGCAGTTCACCTGCATTATTGATAATATAATCACATTTGTGCCAAAGCTGACAGTGAACACCTGGAGAAACTAGAACACGCAGAGAGAGAGGAAAGCTCAAGAGGGTTAAAGCAAATCAAAAGTAATGATTTTCCAGCAGATGACAATCATTATTTTGTGAGTGGAATTAGTGCTGTGATATTTGTAAGTTGGTTAGGGCTGTCACAAAAATGGTATCGTTTGAATAGATGAGAGCAAACACTTAATTTGTTCAAATGAGTTTGAACACAGCCCATGTAACTTAATTATAAACTATGATGCTGAATTGTTCTCATTTTGCTTTGCTGTGTCTTAACACCTTGTGAATGGCAAGCTAACTGGTGACTTCAGTAATGTTGCTATTTGGTAGCTACATTTACCAAAATAAAGGAATCTTATCACCATCCATGATTATTCCACTTTTTTTCGTTTCTGTTCTGATGCTTTGGTTTCATGATTGCTGTACAGTATGTGTATAGCACAATTTGCTGAGCAGGTTGCTTCATTTTAAGAACCCCTCTCACTGGAGTAGGTTTGCTGTCCTCATACTAGAGATGCTGCAAGTTAATTCCCTTCCAGGGATCAGTTTGAAGGCCAATCCGGACATCTTTTAATGATTCTGTTTTGTCAACAATGCAGACAATCTAATGTCGATGCTTTCATTACTGAATTTTACAGTTTTCCACGACTAATTTCATAACAAACCAAAATTAAACCTGGCCTTTGTTTGGTTCACGTGCTTTCTGTAAGCCGACACCTTACCGAGAGAAAGCCAGGTACCCAAAGATCATCTTTTAAGGGAAAAAAAAAAACTCTAAGAATACTGTAAAATTGCTAATGCATAATGATTTTATAGTTCCAGTTTGTAGAGAGTGACAGGACTACTAATAAATTAGCTGATGTTTAGCTCATGTTTAAGTCAATTTCAGAGCTTTACTTTTTGCAGTTAAAATTTTATTCATAATATATGAATCATTTAACTGTATGAGTGAAACTTTTGCCACCAGGGACTTCAGGATTTGGATCAACTAACTCGTGAAAAATAGCGTATGCCACACCTGAAAAGGTTACACGTGCTATTTTAAGGTATGAGATACATATTTAATCAACACTTGGGTAATTATAAGACTTAGATTGGCATTGACTTGGTATATACCCCTATTAAAGGTCACAGAGAACAAGAAAACTTGATTGATTCAGGTTAACATCATACAGTTTGAATTTGGAGTGATCATTACAAGTATTTGTCTTTCATGTTCAAACAGTAGTTTGAATTACAAAAGAACAAGAAAACCTGATTGATTCAGGCTAATGTCATACAGTTTGAATTTGGACTGATCATTACAAGTATTTGTCTTTTATGTTCAAACAGTAGTTTGAATTACAAATAAAAACTGGTAGCCATAGAGTCAATATCATTCATATCATCTAAATTACCATTGTTAACCCTTGATCCTCTTTTACTGTCCAAAATGAAAGCCATCAAATTTTGCAGAAACACTTTTGGTTGTAATTCCACAATAGTTTGTATCTTTACAAATAAAAACTGGCAGCCATAGGGTCAATATCATTCATACCATCTAAATTACCATTGTTATGTTGTATATCTAATATAAAGAGCAGATCCAGTTTTTCATGTTTAAAAAGTTGTTAAAATATGTTTATTATTTGCAGAACTATATTGCTGACCAGTTTCCAGGTGCAGTAATCTCCTTATGTGTATTTTAATATTTTGACCTGTGGGTTAGGGTCCTGACATTGCATGTTTTAATCTTTTTGAGCCCTAGGATGTTGGATGCTGGATGCCAATATGCCACATTTTAAGAGAGTGGGAAGGTTAAGCCTAAATCTTTAGTACAAATAGCTTTTAAAAGGGGAGACGATTCAAAACACCAAAGTGATAAATCTGATGGAAAGGGTTGTCAGGCCCATAAAATCTTCTTACATGGTCACGGTCAGCCATGCTGATGTGAAACCATCAATCTTGTCCCACCTTAATCACCAATCAATTTAGCTGTTGTGCTTGTTTTGAAATGAAAGGTCCTCTTCAAAGTTCTCCATCAAATAGCCAGCTCAGAATGATAAATCAATTAATTTATTGACCCTTATTAATCTTTTGACATTTGAGTAATATTCTCATCAGTATCAATAAAATGTGTCCTTGCAATGCTTGGGACAAAGCGTATTTAACCTTTGTATCTAAGGTAACCAAAGCCAAGCAAATCCTTTTACTGAAGAGTTATTGTAATGGGTTGTTGTAGGTGTGTCTGTCAAGCCATTATTCAAGAAATTGCACCATAATTTTTAAGTGGTTTGAAAATTACTTTTTTTCACTTGCATCTTTGTTTTATGTTACATTGTTATTATGAATTATGGAGTCTCAACTCTGTTCACCTGCTATCAATAGGGTGGCTGGACATGTTGATTAAATCAGGACAGTTACATTTTATAAGCGGTTGTCCAAGCAGTCGTAGGGGCACTCCTGTCCACACTCCATTTCCCAGGAGTCCGCTCTCCCACTTCCTCCTACCTTAACTTCACCCACAGACATAGTTACAATGCCCCCCTGACAGGACATGATGGTTTTTGCATTTAAGTATGTATGAGGTACTGTTAATTGTTGTATATCTCTAATAATGGATTTAAGTATTATCATCTGCATGAATGAATGTTTTTCATGCATTCATGCATAAACTCAAGCCAATTAAAGCATTGTCAAACAATCAGCCTTTACCTTTACAGATAAATAATCTGGTTCCTGTCCTCAGAGAAGCATGTAATGGAAAAGATGAAAGGGCCTTGTGCTCACAATTCAAAATTTGCAACAACTCCAAAGGCCTTAAGGTGCTTGGGAAGGTGAACCATAACAAAAATTTGAAAAAACTGAGACCTCACCAGGTCTTCATCAGGGCACAAACAGAACAAGTGTAGTCTGTCTCATTTCCCAAAGATAATGGTGTATTCAAAGCTTTTCAACATGAGGCAGTTAGACGTATATGTTAGGGTTGTTCCATTAAGTCATTATTTTTGTTGAATATTAATTTTGGATTAGTATATTAATTGTGAAAGGAACAGAAGGATGTTTGCTAACAGCCCTGATATTCTCTCATGTATTTATCCTGGTGTTGAGCACAAGTGATGTCTTTTTTCTGTATTCATGTTCTAAAAATTGAGGGATCCTCTGATTCTCTGTGAATAATAACTTTATTCAAGCCAACAATTTAATGCTTTGATGAATCTTGGAGCAAAGCACAATAACTCTCTGTTGAGGTGGCTTTCTTTTAACTAAGGTAAGAACAGCGATTCCAGTTACCCAGCTAGCAGCTATCAATCAGTCGAGGTGAAATGTTTGAACTTCTACCATGAAACTGCATGATGGCAGTTAAATGAAGGCCAAGATGATGTGTGTATGTGTAACTGACTTTCTCCTTCAGACTAGGCCAGTGTTGAGCCACGGAACACGAGAATTAACATTTCTTTTATTGAAAGTGAGAAAAAGGCCAAAGTTTCAAGCAGCACTTAGAAGTGCCCCGTTACTGCTTGTGTATACAGTAGGTTATTATTTCTGGACATTCTTGTAGACTGTGATGCCTCTATTAGGTAAGGTAGGGTTCCTCTTAAGCAGTAATTCAGTGTATTAGCTGTTAAAAACATTACTTTTTTACCATGGACTTTTGATGCTAAATACACTTCATGTGTAGGAAAGACATACAAGTAAAATTTTTACAGCAATGTGAATTCTTTTGCTTATTTGTTACCATTATCATCTGCAAAATGTTTGCACATACCTTTTCTTAAGAGAGATGCTCCACACGTTACCTTTCTCTCTTATAATGACCATGTCTGACCTTTCTGTTCCATCCTGAGCCTTGCTACCATCTCCTTCGTTTCATTCTTTCTCCCTTAGTTCACAGTCCAGTAATAATTTTCCCCTGCAATTAATTCCTCAACTGACCCCCTCCTCATCCCTCCCATCTCTCATCATTGTGGCGTTGTCTTCTTGGGCTCCAGGGCCTGATGAAATGAAAACTGTTGCCAACAATTATTTTTCCTCATCCTTAGTTGTATACTCTGCTCCACTCCAATTCCTTTCCACAGACCACCACAATTAATGGAGTTCTTCATCAAGCTTGTGGAAATCTCTTCACCTTGACGAATTATGACATTCTGGGGCTTAAGCACGCTATCAAAACCCAATGTTTGTTTACATAAAATATACAGTGTGAGTAATTTGAAAGGAGTGAAGGTTCCTCCAGGTTTGCTGAATAGCCTACAGATGCAATTAGATTTTTGCCAGCTCATCTTTTTTTGCTGTTGTGATAAAACATGACACGTTTTCCCAACAGAGCTGTTTAGCATGGCCATGTCAGAAGTCTGGAACTGAGCAATGTGAAAATTAATTTCAGGTGCACTGTTCCTCTAAAAATAATTGCTTTTTTTTTATTTTAT